CGATGAGTGACAGAGAAAAAGTGCGGTAGCCTCACTTGTCAAATGATACCAGCTCGCGAGCCCCAGCTGGTTAAGCGAAACAATTACGCTAGCATTTATTGGTTTTTAGAAATTTCTAACCTTTCAGGACAGTGGCTAAAGCAGAATCGCAAAGAACCCATTCCGAGTGGTCATCAGAACAGGACTTGTGTATAGTTCGCTGCGTGTTATACTCCGTAAGATACTTGGATGTGGCACGCGAAACTCGTAACATGCAATGGACCAGAAATGTTGTTTAAAATTCTATTCCCTGGTAGACAATGGAATGACACTGCATGACAAGCAATGCCCTTTTGTTGAGCATCCGTGAATTTATATATTATTTTGAACGATCGAATCCAAAGCACGCAATCCTGTATGAGAAGGCGAGGAGCACCACCCCTGGGACAAATATGCTGAGGAGACGAATGCAGCACTGCATTATGAACTAAGACAGGAAGAACTTTTCGCCACTGACAGAGACGAGCGAGAGTCCACTGTGTAAGGACGATTGTGAAGACCAATTCTTGACGTCATTTTGAAAAATGTCGCAACGCTGGTGGAGTTTTTACAAATACTCACTGTCACAAACGACGAAGCGCGTCCACGTCTCCTCTCTTCCAACCAGAAATGTCGTTTCCGGTTGTCAAATCAGTCACAGCAGCAGTTTGCCGGCGGCTTCTCTGTCCTGTCCACCCTCACAGTTTCGCGACGAATTCGCCAATGAGGCAACGGTGTTTGGGCGGCGAAACGACTGTCGGCTGTTTTCGGAGGAGGTTTGTTCTTTGACTGCGACGACGGCGGCATTCGCACCAACTGCGCTGCGCCTGCGTCCTCGCCTTTCGCAATTTCGCCTTTTGCCGAAAGTGCTGTTTTTCTGCCGATACCCCCGAAGCCGGTGCGTTTTTTGCCGGTCGTCCATCGATATCCCTGTTTTTGTTGAGTTTCTATTACCGGTCGTGAAAAATGCGCCGCGACAAACGACAAACGTGACGACCGGCGGTGCGTTCGTCCACTCGTTCCATTCGTATCTCCGCATACTAGGGACTGCATGAAACCGACGGGGGGGCATGTATGCTCAAGACTCATCTAGCAGATATTTTGCCAGCGGCTTTAATAATGGACTTTTATTCGATCAGCAATTACAATTTTGATATCGAATTTTTTTTTGTTCTTTAAATATGTTCATGATAAAGTAAATAAAGTAACGTTGGACAGCGAAATATTACGGTTCTATAATGCCTCGACGGCCGCTGAAAAAAAATATAAAAGTCTGTGTTCAGAGTGTAAGACCAAAAGGAATATTGACATTTCAATGACGGGTATCATGGGCAGTTGACGAAGCCGGACATCGACTACGCATTGAACATACTATATCAGTTATTTGACTTTTTCTCATTATGAGTGAGTCACGAATGCATGTCGATGCCCTTCCAATATTCTCTGTTACCAGTTTCAGCTTCCACCTTTGGCCAAATGATTTGGCCTGGAGATCGTACCAGACCCAGCAAATTTTTGGGCGACCCGGTGGATTTGCGGTCAAATGGAACTCAATTTGAATTCCCTGGTTTCACCATCTGTCTCTCAGGAGAGCTACATGGCCAACTATCTTTCCGTTGCATCTTAGAAGGCAGAAATTACGTCTGTCACTTCAGTTCATTGTCCAATTCGTGCGCTTGGAACGTGATCCCGGAGGAAGGGGACTTTGAACATTCTTCGCCTCATCGCTCTTTGCTTTATCACCAGTTGGGTCTTCTCAGCTGTAGCAGAAGACCAACTTTCAACGCCATGCCCATGCCCATGCGAAAAATCTATGATTCCGGGACAAAGTTACGCGAATCATCTACCGTACGGTCTATTCGTTGATCCGAGCAGGACAATTTATTGTAGACGCCCATCGACAGAAGCAGCGAGTGCGTCACCTTGATTCGTTCGACCATCACCTTACCTCAGTTGTTTCCGCACTTTTATCATGAACTGTAGTTTTCGGACTTTAAATACCGTTGGGTTCCCAAACGATTCGCACCACTGCCACTATTTCGATTGATGAACCCAGCTGCAACATAGCATTACTGCTAAACATGGAATGGACTGCCCGTTGATAATATGGCAGCATAGCGTTGGTATAAACTTCCTGTATCACACGATGCGTAATTTTTCTCAAAGAATTCAATCATGCAAATTGATGTCAATTTTCGGTTCCTGCCTCTGTCGGTTTTAGTTCTTTAGTGGGGTCACTAATCTGCCGTGACTCATGATATTCGGTCGGTTTAAAGCTCTGATTATCTCTAATTTGCATAGACCTCAATCAATCATCAGTGTGGAGGAAATTCAGGGTACAGTGTTCAAGAAACAACGTTTGTAATGAAAATGAAATCACGGGAACATAATGAAAAGCAGACCAAGAATGATGTGAAATAAACAGGTGATCACATCTCTCAGATGGGTAAAAGTTCACCTGAAAAACACCTGTTTACATTCAATGGAATCACATACTAACAAACGGTAGAGTCGCTATGGGATCTCTGATTCCACCAATGACGGCCAACCTATACATGGAGAAATTCCAGATCGTCCCTTCAAATTCACGTCGTTGACTCCACGAATACGATGGTGCTACGTTGATGACAAGCTCAGTGGGCCGTTTTCCCAATGGAAAACGGGAAGAAACTGTTGAGCAACCTGAACAGCATATTTCCGCAAGTACAGTATACGATATAAACATAGCAAGGTGGCACAATTTCATTCCTGGACTGCAAATTGGTTCATCTAGCCAGATGTTCAACAGAAACGTTGATGTACAGAAAACCTCTGCACACCGACCACTCTTTGAACATCAGATCTAACCATTTCCTTGCAACTAATACGAGTGGTTAAATGCCTGATAAATCGAACTCACAACCTGTGTTCCGATAGTGCAGCTAAAACGGAGCTTACATACACAAACGAAATGGATACCAAAGAATTTCTTCCGGAAAGCCTGAAGGAGTAGACCTGGACAAGAACTCAGGCCGAAGCAAGGACCCTCATTCATCACTTGCATGCCTTATTTTCTGGGTCTGGCAGAATTTATCAGGCAGGAAATAAGTTCAGAGAACATCGCCGTTGCCTTCAATTCTAAATGGAATCCAAGATCACTACCAACGAAGGGAAAAGAGCAGAAAAATCCCTGAAGATGCAGTGGCTGTGGTGCACCAGATCGACTTCCCGATTTGCAGCCCAAGTTACATTTGTCAGACATCACCTTCATTGCAGGTTCGAGTTGCCGAGCACAAGCGAGCCAGCAAGCGAGGTCACCGGCAAGAAGCATTGCGGAAGTGGGAAATAACTTCTGTACCATCTCGTCATCATATTAATTACGACTGAATATCATATTGACCTTGCGGGAACAAGATTCATGGTGATGACGTAAAATATGTTCGAAAGGGTCTTGTTAGAAGTGTACCTGAATGTGTCAGATGACGGAAAATTATGGATCGGTACTGCGAGTAGAAATGTCAAAACATGGATTGGCCTATGGAAAACACTTGTACGATGAAGGCTATTCCGATCCATCGTAAGAGAACAAACAAAGCAAACAAGAACATGTCTGTGCAATGAGCGGCTTACATCCACAGGGCTGTTCGGGCGTTTTTAACCAGAAATTTGACCCCCCCCCCTGAAAATCAAATTCTTGAAGAAGAAGCTTTGTGTCGCCTGCTGAACAGTGATGAAAAGCCGGTTGACTTCACTCGTACTACAGCGCGGTACATTTAGGGATTATCAGAGCACCTAGCAACCACAAAGACCACTCTACCGACGGTGTGGGACACAAAGAGAACGGAGATGGGGGATCCTAAAGTGCATAGGTTACAACTTTTCCCATGGACTCACCTGGCTTTTAACCGCATCTGGTCATTCCTGAAGATTGGAAAAAGACGTGATAATCCTGAGCTTCAAAAGTCAGGGAGTCGTAACTACTGCACACAATACCGAGGAATCACCGTCCTGTGGGTTCCGGAGAATTGCTTCGAGCGAATCATTCATGAAGGATTGCGGGAGTCCATCGATCGTTCATTGCGAACTAACCAAACAGGCTTCCGAAGTGGACACTCGTGCATGAACAACGTCTTTGTGTTGTAGCGTATCATCTAGTAGAGCCGGAACCTTCAGCTTCTCTGGAACACGCAGCCTTCGATTCAGTTCATCGACAGTCAATATGGCGTGTTATTTGTCACAGCGAAATTCTCCGGACCAGATAAACCTGACAGGAGGTCTGCGAGAGGGGCTGAATGCGCTGTCTGAGCTGAAGGATCACTCTCGGACTAGTTAACATTATCAGTAAAGTTCGCCAAGGCGGGGTACTCACTCCTTGTAACTCAACATCTTGGAGGATTACGCTATGCGTAATGCGTCACCTCAGATGATAAATAGAGTCTTACTGTCCTTCAGCGACGCAGCTTGAGATGCGCAGCGTTATTCCTAACGAACCTTGAGCACGTCGATGACGTCACGCTGCTGAGACTCACTAGAGCAAATAGCTTACTATCACTCACTGTAAGGGTATGCAGCACTTATGTGAGAGTGGGGCTAAAACTGAAAGCCAAGAAGACGAAGATTATGATAGCGGCCGCTACGACAGGTAGTTCAAGGATATTATGGAGTGGTAATTCGATGGAAGAAGTGAACGATTTCAAGTACCTGGGCATTGAGATAGCAGACTGCCTTCATGTGAAGCTCTTGCCCGATTCATTATCCTATGACATGCTTCGGATCTCAATCAACTATTTATTCCACCGCTAATTTGTTTGGCAGGTAAAGCCATAATAGTTCAGCTACTGGACAACCATACTGTCACCCATATCCGGATTATGGCAGAACTAATAAGGCCGTCCTTCTTTTAGGAAAATAATCTCCCTCTTGTGCGATATATTCTCTTGTCAATCACTTCAGTTAAACCCACGCATTTTTGGTGATGTCTCAATTAACCTCTT